GGACCCAAGCCATTAAGGGCTTGGGTCCTGGTTACCTGAAGGAGTGCTTACATCCATATATGCCCGCCTGCCCCTTGAGATCAGAGGGAGAGGCCCTTCTCCGGGAACCCTCCGTGAAGGAAATTAGGAGGGTAAGTTCGCGGAGGAGGGCTTTCTCTGCGGTGGCGCCCAATCTATGGAATGCGCTCCCCAGAGAGGTCCGCCTGGCGCCGTCGTTATTTGTTGTTCGGCGCCAGGCAAAGACCTTTTCATTCAAACGTTATTTTAATTGTTAATATTATTTATTTCATTCTTTGGCCAGGGCGACTTAATTTATACTGTTAAATTATATTGTTTTATATTATGTTATTTATTTATGATTGTGAGCCACCCTGAGGCTTCAGCGAATGGGGCGGCATAGAAGTTCCCTAAACAAACAAACAAATAAATAGATGGCAGTTTGGGCATACCAGTCCCAACTATAGTTTCATGGTTACAGTTTTTCAAATTTGAGCCATTAAACCTCTTCCTATGTTTCAACTATTATCTGTATAATTTAAGAACATTCAGTCAAGTCCTGTATGAAGAGTGCTTACTGAAGTGTTAGGGACATTCCTAAAAAGAGTGAAGAAGAGCTGATAAGAAAAACCAGAGAAGGATATTAAGGGGGCCAGATGCAAAAGGCAAGGCTCCTACACCTTCAATAGTGGTGCAGAAGAGGGAACTCAGTAGGTGTCACTTGTATAACAAGCTTCATCTGTTGACATTCCTTTTTCTACACCACTGTTAAAGATACAAGAGACCTGTCCTCTGCCTCTGGCCATCCTGAGTGGAGTAGAGAAGCTAAGCATAAAAAGGCAGAAGCAGGCAGAGAAGCTACATGTAAGGAACTAAGATCCAATGGAAGCGCTTACAGAAAAAATGCAGGAAGATAATTTTCAATGATTTATTCCTTTTTTGTCACACTCAAGCATTACCTCCCACAGTGTTCTGGCATGTTCCTAACTCTACAGAGTAGATTTTAGAGGACTGAAGAAGAAAACTGGCACCTCCCCATCCCTTCTTCTGACAGAAACATCCCGAGTGGAGTTCCACTCATGGAAACTCTGGATCCAAGCCAAATTCTCCACTCTGCTGTCCTCATCCTCATTATAGAACTGTGTTCATTACAAAGGCAGCAGTTGCTGCTTCTTGCCATCATTGCCGCTTGAGGGGAGGGCAGCAAACAACTGGCAATGGTACCAAAGTACCACAGCAGCCTCTACTGCTGCCTGATGCTTCTCTCAGTACAGTAGACTGGAAGGAGGAAAAGTCTAATCCATACTGATTCTCAGAGAAGGAAAAGCAGGCAGCAGAAATTGCTGCTTCTTTTCTTCTTCCATGGGGCTACTGTACAAGGGTGCCATTCCCTGACAACAGCTTTGCCCAATTCACTTCCTGGCAACTGTACATATATCGATTTGATATTCAGGTAGTACAGTGGCAAAACAGAAAAAGCCATTATAGGTTTCCCTTACAATATATTTTCTATCTAAAAGAATCAAAGCATTTTTCTGCTTTATAAAAGCATCCAATATACATACCATGTCATACCAGAACTGCAATCCTATACGAAGTATACCCACTGAACTTAGTGGTGACTTCTAGTAAACTTGGACAGTAGACTTTTAATAGCACATTTTATTTGTAGATGTTAGATGGGAGTTCAATATATCCTCAGTTTTGCAGATGAGATATGAAAGACTGACACAATGAACTGCAGGGCAGGTTAAAAAAACAAAAGCAAACTACCGTAGAAAGGACAAGTGACTACAGCTCCCATTATCCTTGACAAATGCTAAAGTTATTGGGAACTGGACACCAATAAAGACATATTTTAAAGTGTCAAAATGCGTTTTCATGCACAATAAGACCTGAGCTAGGCAGAACACAAAATCTTCTCTTTGCTATTAATTTTCACCTCTAGGTTGTCATGGTGCTGAAATCTCACTGCTTCCTATGGGCAAATCTTGCTTCCAGTCCAGAGATGAGAAAAGGCTTTTAAAAAAATCATGAAGCTGATCTCCAGTCAAGGAAGTGAGTTACTCTTCTTTTTTCATCCTCATAGGATCAACTGCCATTAACATTCTGTAAGAAGCTCGCATGTCCTTGTTGGGCTGTTTTGTTTCTGTTTAGTTAATTTGCAAATTTGCATACTTCGACATACATAAAAAGTCTTTCCCTTCCCCCAAGTATATAGAAGCTACTTCCTTCTTTTTGGGTGACCCTCTTCTACTTCCAAGCTGACAAGTGACCAGCCAGGCTTGCTACCAAAAAGGGCTACAATCTGCAACAAAATGTTCTAGTGCCTTGCTTTGCAAAACTGTCAGAGGTTTAGGATTAGCAAGAGATGTTTCTCTGCCTGACAAGGGGCAAACGTGTCAGACTTTCTGCAGTTACTTTAAGCCAGAATTACCTGAATGTTATGGGTAGTACGAGAGCTGCACACATGCACACATACACAATCTTCTTTGCTTCCTTGGTGGGATCTGGGTAGATCACTAAGGTGAACATTTACAATTCTTCATACTTTGGTGTTTCCTCAGATATGACCATTTGTGTTTTTGGAGCTGACCCCATTTTGTTTCCAAACTGACTAGTACTGGGCCACATATAGGCACAAATATAGGCTGTGTTAGTTGTTCATGCATTTTAACAAATTTGCACAAACTTTCATGGGTTACAACTTACTTCATCAAAAGCCATAAGACTAGCTAATTCTTAAACAATTATTTAATAAGCTGAAGGAGATGTCAGGACCAGGCATATGACACCTACACTTTGAAGGGTAATACATTAGCAAGCATCCACCAACCTGGTACCCTCCAGACATTTTGCACCTCAGTTCTCTGCAACCCCACCCATTATGGCTGATAGCCAAGGATCACAGGAACTGTAGTACAAAACAACTGGAGAATGCCAAGTTGGAATAGTCTGCATTTCAACAACAGGAACCCAATAAGATACCTACTGACTTTAACAAATCTACTAGCAGGGGTGTTTGCATCCTTGCAGGCTTATGATCCCTGCTTTTTAAGATTCATGTCTTCCTTCTCATTTACTCCACAAAGGCAGGAAAAATAGTAAAAACAGGAATGTGCTAGGGAAACAAAATACCCTGTTTAGATGCTGCACACCAAATACAGGAACTTCTTCAACTTTCCCCACTCCACATCAGCAAGAGGCACCAGGAACTACAGCAAGTTCTAGGATAACTTTTACATATGTTTTCTGCTGTCATAAAAAGATGGCTAAAATGTTGTTTCTAGAGAGAAATGGCTTTTGGACTTCTCTGGATTAAATCTTCAAGATTATAAAAATACAGAAAAAAATACTTCCTTTTAAAATACAGGAAAGTGAAAAAAAAAAACATCAAACAATCATCATTCCTCCTTCTAGGATTTCCTTCTTGAGAACTAGTGCTGCCTGTCACAATTTCAATGTGTGTATAAATTTTTCAACTACATTCTTGAAAATAAATAAATACCAAAGGAATAAATTAAGAGCACCATCCCTATGTGCTTATACAAGGTCAGATTATACATCCATGCCAGCTCTTTTTTCCTCCTCAATTCACTAAATTGTATCATGTTCTACAGCTCAACTTGTGGTAACGGATTTGGCAGGGGGCAGCGTATCATATACAGATTCAAGCTAGATGCAGACCTGAGGCTTCATCCACATATTGGCCGCATTAGACTTTCTAGATACATCTTGATGCAGATGGAGATGTGTAATCCTACTGGGGATACAAATAGTTGTGTGGGACAACAGCTGAATCAGGGGAACTTGTCTTGGATGATTTAAGAAAAATGCTCAGTATCGTCTACTCTATAAACATACCTTTGCTGGTTATGTAGTGGGGAGAACAAACACACTTCCTAGAATTGCAAGAAGATTATGTTAAATACCCAACATATTTAGCTGTCAAGAAAATTAGGAAAGCAGTATACTAAGAGTCAAAGATAACCTTGTATATTTTAATGCATTTAATGCCAATAGTTTTAAAGTGATTTATACTGAGGAGATTGTCACATTAACCTAGAGGATGTCACCCTAATTCTCTCAGTTGTTTACCACATCTTCAGCATTTGTACCTTCTTGTTTTTCTATCGCAATGGGTAAGGCCCCTCTTTTCCCTTTTATTAAGATAAGAACTTTGAATCCTTTGAGTATTCTTATTAAAACTACAGTAAAAATCTCCATTTTCCAATGATTAACATTGCAACAATTTGCTGATCTCTACCTAATTCAGGTTTTTCTCTTGGCTTTACTACTGGAATCCCTTTCTTTTCAATTTCAGCATCACCATATTTCCTCCAGTCCTAATTCTGTTGCCATGTCAGTTTTTTCTTTCATTTTGTTTCACTCATATTTTTCCTTTATGTTCCCTCCACTGGCTTCCCATTTCCTTAGTAGATCTAGTTTGTTTGTTCTTTTTGTTTTTCAATTGTTTTGCTTCATGACCTGTTCCTATCATTCTATTTTCACTTGTTTTTGCCTCCTTTACTCCATGAACATTTTCCCTTGGTTTGAACTTTATGTCACTTCCTCCACTTTACAGCTCCAACCCTTCTCTGGAATTTCCAACTCCTCTGTTCCTCCATCCTTACAACTTAAAAAAAGTACCTCCTCTCTTGATCTGTAGTTCTCACCCCTTCTTCTGTCCCTTTTCTTTTTTGTATCCTACTTTCCTTCTGTTCTTTTTTTTTTTTGGGGGGTGGGATTCCTGTTAAGTCTATTGTAGCAAAAACTAAGTCTTATAAAATGTGTTACTCCATGTACTGCAAGGATTATCTTTTCTTTTGCTAGCAATAAAAGAAGTGTACACAAGTAGTGGCAGGTCTGTTCTTGGATTAATGGTTATGCAGTGTTTAGCTTCTAAGACACTGTAAGAAATAAATTGGTTTGGGAAACTTGGTATACACTCAAAAACCATAACCAGATAATATGTTTGTTAGGAGCAGCCAAAAAAATCACAGTGTGTGCAAGCTTACACATTTTCCAGAATCCTTCAACAGGCTACATGGCACAAAATACAGGAAGAGAATACCATACCAAAAAGGTACAAAAATCAAACTAGATGCAGCTATGAGGTCTGCAACTTAGATTCAGTCTCAAACAAATTACAGACTAAATTACCTGGTTCATTCAATTAAAATAAAGTTGACACTGCAGTGTGTGCTGGGCAAAATTTCCATGATCACTACTCAGTCACAACTTGATGTGTCATCTGAACCTGGCTGACATGATGGAAGAGAAAACAACACTTCCGTAACCCTACAACAACCCATGGATGATTGGAGGGTTGTTTCCAACTCTAAGAAGCCATAATGCCCAGGTATGGATGACATGGCGAGTCATCCTAGACACTGATTATGGTAACTGTGCTCGACATGTACAATGGTGGCTTAGTTTGTCATGACTGGCATGTATTATGGTTGCTTAATTTGATTGTGTGAACCAGTCCATTGAACCAATCACTGGAAGCTTTTACAGTTATAGTACACCTAACATGCTGGGACAAAGAATCAATGGCTGACTCCTGTTTCTGAAAATACAAATACCAGTTGTTAGGTCAGATCTGTCTCCTGCTCCATGCAAAATACACAGGTTCCCGAGTATACAGAAGCCGGACTGCATAATAATAGCTAGTCTGAGGGTGGGGAGGCACTTCTTTTCAGCTCAGAGGACAAATGCAACTTCAGAGATGTGCTTTGGGCCTACATTCTAGTCATCAGCAGAGCAAAAGGTAAAAAGGATGGGGCCAAAAATATACAGAGAACATGCCAGCATATTGCAGTTTAGCCATCCTGCAGCTAGAAGCAAGCCTTGGAAAAGGCATTTCAGCCTTTTAGAATGCAGGGATGGAGAAGCTTCACAAAAGTAGGAAAGAACCAAACAGTTGGTACTTGGGGAAGGAGAATAAATTTGGAGAGCAGTACTGAGACCCGAGAAAGCCCAGATTTGGCCGCTTGGGCCTGAGATTCCCCACCGTGAACTAATAGTTGAAGGGAATGCAAAACCTTCCTTCAAATGGGAGAACATTGTCTTCTCTTTGATAGTTGTTCCTGCACTGGTCAGCTAATACAGTTTTCTCCAAGATGGCTATGCTGGTCCATAACAAACTAGTCCATTGTATAACGGAGGAACTGGTCCGGTGTACTTTTCTGGAGCCTTTACCCCAACGTTGTTGTACCATCAAGCCTTATGAAGAGTTGCAAATAATTCAAATGCTTGTCACTCTTCTGTGATATTTTGACTGGTTTTGGCTAGCGCATGCTGGGAGTTTCAGGACTTTTTTTGTCTAAGCATGAAAATGATTGTGCCCTATATAAAGAAAAATATGTTAAGAGGAGGTGACTATTACAAAGTACCCAGTTAGCTAAGATCAACAGGGCTATTCAGGAGGCTGGCTAAGTTTGCACACTTATCCTAAGATCAACCAATGGTAGTCACAAGATAGACAGGAGACCAGCAGTTACAGTTATTTTCCATGATACAGTTTTTGTTCGCAAAAAGGCACACTGTCAGGATCTGTCAGGGGATAAGATGGAGGAGGAGAATGATGTAAGCTGCCTTGAGCCCTTTGTAGGAAAAAGGCAGGATATAAATCGAAAAATAAATAAATAAATCTGGGCTGTTCCAGTGGACAGAACCAGAGCAACCACCTCCATATTTGGAGAATCAGTCCCAGGCCCTGCTGGAGGTCTCAGGCTACTGATCAGCACCAGGTGGAAGTCTGGAGGAACAGCTATATAAGAGCAAGCTCTTCCCTCCAGAACTAGCCTCAGCAATACCGGTCCTGTCCCCTGCCCTGCTGTATTCCGTCAGCGGCACAGGTCCTCCTGTGTCTGCATTCTGCCGACTATTCCTGTCATGTCTCCTGCATCTTGTCATTCTGCCTTGCTGTTGTGCCTGCCTCTTGCCTAGCCTACATCCTGCCTCACCTGTGTATCCTGCCCTGCGGTGTTGCCTCAGTAACACAGGGCTTCTTGAGAGCTGTGGTTCAGCTCCTGCATCCTGCCTGACCCTTACTGCATCTGGTTCCTCTTGCGTCCTGCCATGCCTGTACATCCTGCCTTGCTGTGCTTCCCAACCTGTTATCCTGTTCAAGGTACCTACACTCCTGCTTTTTCCTCCTGGTTCTCGACTCTTGGCTCGTTCCTGACTACATCCTTGTTCTGTCTTCATGCAGTCTTCTGGTTCCTGACCTTAGTCAGTACCATGACTATGATCTGGACTTTCCCTTAGACCTGCATTTAGATTCTGTCTTTCCTGAACTCCTGTTGCCCTAGTCCAGGTGCCTCTGTTGCTCTTGACTTGTCTGTGGCTGCCCCTGAACACACATAGCCTTAAGGCATAAGAACGCATAGCATTGTCTCTACTGGTAAGTCATAATCTTGTGTATACATTTCTGAAGAAATAAAGAGGGGAGAAGACTTTATATACAACATTATTTATACTGGAAGTGTGCGCAGATTTGTGTAGGACTTTTGTTTTTTCTCTTTTCTGGGAAACTGGAAGAAATTAACCACTCACGTATCATTAAAACACTGGAAAGCACACACATGCTGGCAGCTTCTGTTAATATATTATGTTATTCAGAGTCTGATGCTTTTGAGACAAGCCAGCTACAGTATAATTTTGAAGAAAGAGACTGAATAACAAAGAATGATTAGTAAAGAATCAGCACTATTTTAAGACTAGTGATTGTCACCTTGGAATGCATGTCTTATACTACCAACATATAACCAGTGTTGCGTACTACAACACCAGTCATAGTTATTATCTGAATGATCTCATATTGAAACAAGGATTCTTTGGAAAACCCATGATTATGCCTGCATTGTAAGAACTACTGCATGTCTGGAAGTGTATTTTAGGTTCTCTTTCTTTGCTAATCACAATGAAAGGCTTACAATAACCAACCTAAATATAATCCATAAATCACTGACTGCATTGAATGTAGTTGAACCAGAACCTGGACTTCAGCAATCTTTGGATACCAACCAACAATGCAGATTTCTTCCCCCACAAGGGAGGCTTTGTTAGTGGCTCCAGTAATTGCTGAATTGCAAACTCTGTCTCACTTGAAACAAAACTGATTTACTTTTCAGGATTCTTATTTAACTTATCCCTGCATTAAGCCAGTTCAAAAGCAAGTATTTTTCGTTTGAAATTAAATTTGGAAGGTTATACTTTAACTATGTGTTTTCACAGCATAGGTAGAAATGGAAAAGGCTACACTCTGATTATCTGTTGTGATTCAAAGTTCTCTTACAATATAAAACACCTTAAGAAAGCGTAAAGGAAAGTTATTTAGTATTAAAGCATCAGAACATAGGAAAAGGGTAGGAAAAAGGCAGCCAGAACTATATAAAGCTTACTTGTAAATGATATACAGGTTATTAGTCCCTCACTTACTCTAATACAGAATATGATGAAAGACACATAAGGCATCACCATATTGAAGCTAAGCAGGTCTGGGGCTGGCCTGAGCTTGGAGGGGAGACCATCTGAGAACCACATGTAGCCAACTTGAGCTCCACAATGGGAAAAAGTAGGATATAAGTAAAACACACCTTCCTATTACATGTAGTTCATGAAACACTATCTCCATTAATCACTAGCATGACATTTACTTACAAATCACTTAAAGTTAACAATACAACTATATAATTACAGAGCAGCAATTGTTTAAAGAGCAGCAAGTGTCTCATTAAAAGCAGTAAAGTTCATTAACAAAAGAAGCAGCTTCAAAAGCATTCTAAAAATTGAAATTAGGAGTTTTTTCTGATAGAGAATTTCTATGTGTGGGATTTTTCCTGGAAGGCACAGAATATACATTTGTTTATTTATTTAAAACATTTTTTGCTTTTTGATTAAAGGCAAAACCAATCAGACATCTGGGCTGCCATCCAGAAACTATTTAATTGGAAGTATCTTTTCTGTATTTAAATTGATCTCTACTTTATAGCAATACAATTCATTCTTAAAGTCTCAATGGAAACATGTTGAAATTAAGTAGCACTGCTTGGAAGCCATACATGTAAATATGGTTGGTGCATGTCTAGCAAAAAGCATGCAAATTGTTTCCAGTTTGACCAGTTGTGATCTTTCTTGCTGGAAAAGCTCCAAAGAAGTTAAAAAGAAAAGGAACAGACTGAGAAGAGTTATTGAGGTTTTCATTTCAGTTATGCAGAAGTTTAACATTTTCCCTTTGGCTACAATTTCTACGTTTATTTGCATATGTAAAATATACTGTAATCAGCCATGTCAGCATATTTCATTAAACATGCACAACCTATCACCCTTTTTTCTATATCTATAGATGTTCATGCTACCCTTCAACATAACTTTCAGAGCTGTGTACAATATATTGAAAAGTTAGTAAAACCATATAAACAGAAGTCAGAACAGCAACAACATTTAGAAGAGCAGATGCAACCACAATTAGAAGCAGCTTACTGGAATGCCTGGGCAAATAGGAACATCTGTGCCGAGTGCCGAAATGACTTCAACGTTGGCAACAGATCAGTTCCCTTAACAAAGCCAGCCTTCCCCATTTTGCTGCCCTCCACATGTTGGGGACTTTTGATTCCCATCAGCCCCATTAAAATGACCTACCTTTGAAACTGACTGAGCTGAATGGATTCATGAGAATTTTCTGCGACTCTGCTGTTGGCATAGCTGATACAGTGTACAGGACTTCAATAAAAGTATAATTCAGAGATGGCTTCAGCTCTAGACTGGATTACGCTGAAGCACCTCCTCCCTCTATCTGGCTCCATGCTATTCCAGTAAGCTGGGAGCACATGAAGCAGATGGATCAAACACAAATTATGGAAAGCTTGGATCAAATCCAACTGAACCTAAGAAAAATCTTTAGAGCACACACAACTATTGTGTCAGTAAATCTTGGGATGGTCTGGCTCTTCTCTGGGTAGGCCCACCAGATGACTTAAACTTTAAGTCTTAAAGGAAGCCTCAGTAGTCTGCTGTGATCTAGTTAAGTGCTTGAGGACAAAATAGCTTGCATCTGCCTTGCCTTAAATGGCACTGTTCTGCAGTACAGTCAAAGTATGTATCCAAAGTAGTTTATCAGATAAATTGCAGTTGATACATGGTGCTTGAAAGAATCTGTTTGCTAGTCCATTGAGATTCCCCGGCTTTTAACACCTATTCTGAGATGGATGACTAGCATGGTCATCAGTTTCATTAGGGGATACAATGCTCCTGACCACCTTGAACACTGGAAAGCACTCCAACCCTTTGGAGATTGGGAAGCTTGTTCTACCTAACAGACCATGACAAATATTTATATTTGGGGTTCAGTGAGCCATACAGCTCCAGATACTCCACAGTGAAACAAATTATATCAGTTTTAACTCAACATCTGTCCCAAATCCAGCACTGAATTGCTTTGATTGCCCTGACAGATGACCTGTGCTAGAAGGATGGGCTGGTGCATTTCTATTACTTCTTCAGAACATCTCAGCAGTTTTTGATGGCTTATAGCATGGGTCCTCAAACTACGGCCCACGGGCTGGATCCGGCCCACCATGTCCATTTATCCGGCCTGCCACAGCTCGCCACACATGCGCATGCAGCAAGGTGCCAGTTTGCTCACAAGGAGAGATGGCTTTGGACTCGCTCAGAGAAAAGGCTCTCCTTGCAAGCAAGCTGTGAGATCCTTTTCCCCGAGCGAGGGGGAGATCGTTTTGGACTCGATCAGAGAAAAGGATCTCCTTGCGAGCAAGCCAGCACCTTGCTGGGAGAAAATAATCTCAGTGCACGCACGCCCCTACGTTGCTGCGCCCAGACCTGCACCTCCCACCCACACTGCCTTGACGGCCCGTGCCCATCGCTGGCACCTTTCAACTGGCCCCCTATTTAAAAAGTTTGAGGACCCCTGGCTTATAGCATGGTATTCTTCTTGACTATCTGTCCTTGATGGGGAAATCATTCCAAAGATTTTGGTCTTACCTGGAAAGTCAGTTCCAGAAGAAGATGCTGGAAGCTATCAAGGTCCCAATGCCACTATGCTGGGAGACCATGGACCACAGTATTGTATTGCTACGTTCCACAGGACTTTATCTTCTCTTCAATGCAGTTTTAATATCTACACATAACCACTGAATAACTACTCCAAAGATTTAGAGTGATAGATCATACTAATGACACCTAGCTTTATTCCCCGTATCACACTCAGGCAGGAACATTGCTGGATGCTAAAGAACTGGGACTCAATCTTTCCATTTTTAACAACTTATTTTTTTCATTGCAAAGTGGAGAAGAATTTGGTGGCAGTAGCAGCAGTGCACAAAGATTGTATTCACCAGCTGTGTTTCCTCTGCAAATCCCCCTGCTTGGCAATTATGCTTAGGGAAAAAACATCCCACCGGCACCATTAGAAATATTTTTTCTCCCTAAGCTTAATTGCTATGCAGGAAGAGGGGTTAACCCTTTGCTTGCAATTATAATCCTTCTTGGATATCATCCCCTGCAAAACAAGCTGGGGGAAAAAACCTGCCACTGGCACCAATGAATACTTAGGGTTCTGGAGCATGGATTCAGGGCCTGCAGAAAAAGATGTGGGGGCCAGGGCTTCAAGGTCCCACACCTAGCAGTGTCCTTTGATTCAGATAAGGCTGTGGAGCTACAGAATTCCTGTTTCAAGTTGATAATGGACAGAATGAGAGCCCATCAGCTGAAACATGATCTATCCATGACAAAGTTATTATGTCTATACAATTTTTCTGCCCTGCGTGGACAGGTTAGTTGGTCTAATGGGGCTGCACTTCCTCTAAAGAAGTCAGTTCATATCTTAGGAGTATAATTGTGTGTCAAAAAATTAAGTTGGATCTTCAAAGCATTAGTGTCTCTAGGTCCTCTTTAGCAGCTTCAACCCCTTTTTGAACTAAGGTAGCCTAGCCACTGTACCCTTGTATATTCTTGAACTTTTCAAGGTGATGCAGGGATTATTAACATCTGCTCTGACCAGTGTGAAACTGCAACCCTTTAAAAAGCGAAGGTCAACATATGAATGGCTTCATATGACAGCAGGTGTCATGGTGGTATTTTATAGGACTTTATATTAACACCAGCAGTTTGTATTGCATTCAAGCACAAACTAGGAGAAAGTTTAACTGTTTTAAGACTGAAAAATTGTGTCAATCTTCACTCAATACAGTCTCACTTCAGATGCACTGTAGCAGCCAAATACGGATGTTACCAGGATATGGAAATCTGCAGCCAGGCTATCTCTACCTATATGTGCATATACGGAAAGATAGCAAACCAGCCTAAACTGGTGTAAAGTACTTTGTGCTATGAATACCACCTGGGGCAAGCAAGTTAAGGCTAAAGTCTGATACTTCTCTAATTTGCAAGTCTACTTTTTAAGGGGAAGAGGTACAATCCTGTTCCAAAGATAACCACCTACCTACCAACAGAACCTCCATCTTGTTTGGACTAAGCTTCCATGTATTAGCACTCATCCAGTCCTTTACTGACTTCAGGTACTGCCACCATTTGACTTGAAATCTACTGAAAAAGATGTAGAGCTAATGTCACCAACATACCAAAGATACCTTATGCTATTCCACAGATGGGCTTCTCATGCAAACTGAACAGCATGAGGGGCAGAGTCCCAGAATTCTGTAGCCTAACTACAATAGCATAGATCCAGGGTTCCACGGAACCAACTTTGGAAACCAATGGCTCAGACAGAAACACTAAGAAAGCATGCTGCCCCAGTTCCTGGGTTAGATGATCAGTTCATTAATATATTACTGTTGATAGTATCAAGAGTTGTTCTCCTGACTTCAACAATCAGCATCATACTCCTGTTTTTATACAGGCAATCAGTTTTCATGTTGAACCCAGGCCCAAAGCTAGACTAAACTGTGTATCTAGATAATTTTGTGTGCTATAAGAGAAAAATTCTGTAAATCCTTCATTTATGTTCAAAGATAAGCTACAGCAAATAATATAGAAAAAATGGATAGGTCTGAAGATGCCATCTAAAAAAATAATATCAAGCAGTGTATTTTTGAAGTCAAGCAAGAACATGCACTCTTTCTATTTCACTTCATTCCTCAGATGTTCTGCCTGTTCTGACCAATTCATACAGATAGTAGAGTAGCAATTTATGCTTATTTCAATTTTTGCCAAGATGCAGTTTGATTACATCAAAGGCAGCATGGCAAATCAAAAATGGGGGCATGGGCATTATCTTTCTCATAATTTCCTTTAAACTCCAAGAGGAAAAAAAATAGATCATATTACCACCTCAAAATGCTTCAGTTCACAGGAGTTCAGACCCTTCTGGGGCTACAGCCATTTCTATATATTCATCAACGAGCTTTCATAACACAACTTCTAAATCACTTTTTAAAAGTCAATTGGGAAACACTTCCATTTAATTACATACTTGGGCAGCATGAATAGAAGCCAATGTTTATAAAACTTCACCACAGTTTTGAATGTTACTGGGCCAAACTCCATGTTCCATTTGACTTGACTATACAGAACACTCCAGTCTGTTAAGCAACATGTGGGATCCTGATGGGAAACCAGGTCAAAGAAAATTACATCCCTTCAAGTTTTTGCTATGAGGGAATAAATTACCAGCTTAACACTGCTAAGTTTAGTTACTTTTTCTAAAGTTTCTCATGCTTATGCATTCGATAAAGTGGTACTTATTCAGAATGCACCACTCAGAAACCAGAGACACTTAGAACTAAGAGTGTGGGAACACACTATTTTTGTGCAAACCGAGTTGTGTTCCTATGTCAAACATTCAGCTTTGTATGACAGGTGTTGCTAAGCAAAGTAATATAAGCAGATTAAGAACAAGGGCATTACCGCTAAGGTCCCTATTTAAATGTTAACCCTGACTAGTAAGCGACACCGAGAGAAGTACACGACGACACATAACTGACCAATTCCCCCTGAACTGGCATTCCCGAGGTTCAAGGTGGCTGCGAGTTTAAGGCTTTTTAGGATACCAAGATCTCGAAAGTACAAGCCCTTTCCTCGCACAGATGGTCATAAGAAATAGATACGGAAAGAGCACTATTCATATGTATATTAGCAGAGAGAACGAGCGCAACGTACCTCTTAAAAGAGCAGCTGAGAAGTAAATATTGCAGTTAAGTCCATAGCCCTTCCCCACACCATTTCTCCCTTTTTTAAGACTATGCGATTTTTCTATCTGAGCACCCTCTCGACTAACAGATGGAAACTGACTTCCTGAACATTATCCGCAGAACACCCCTTACCCTCTCTAAAGCCCCACCCTAAAGAACCACGCCGGACCCCTGAGAGGACTGTCGCACATGCCCACCGCCCAAACCCCTTACACACTCACGCTTGTCTCCGAGCAATAAGGCGATGCATGGGAGTCGCCATCTTAGCCACCGGCCGGGCACGGACACACGCTGCATGCCGGGAGTTCTACCCACCCTTTCCCCCCTATTGGATGAGCCATTTCACGGACTCGGGAAGGGAGGGAGAGCAGGGCGGTACCATTAGGGGGTACGGGGGGGGGAGATTTCAGCTTTTCTCTTCTAAGCATCTGTAGCCTTTCCCGACCGAAGTCTAGGGCTACTGCTCTTTCCCCACGATTCTTCTCAATCTCGAGATTTAAGTAGAAAGTCACGAGGTTTTGTTTCAATGCCTCTCTTTGCTGGTTTCTAAAGTAAATAGTATACATTGCTGCGATTTGTAAGATCCTCCCTCTGTCAGAATTCCCCGCAAGTAGAAAACTAGCATAGCAGAAAGAAGGGTATGGTAGCGTTTGTGATCTGGCAGTTTTCCTTCTTTCAAACGCTTGCAGTACTACTGCTCATGTTGACCCATGGGGGAATGGGGTGGTAGAATCCTGCGATAGTAAAAATGGACTCTGTTACTATCACAGTAGGTGAGATATACAGCGTTTAACATACGAAATCGGAGAAACATCGCAAGCGCCATTCGAGTTGTGCATTTTTTTGTTTTTTTTAACTTGCTGGGAGATGTCTTTTGTTGTGATTTTCTACACCCAGAAAGAGAAAGAGAGAGGAGCACCCAGAAAGAGAAAGAGAGAGGAGCAGCATGAAGTGTTCCTTTCCCTTCCATCACTTTAGGATACTTCCACCTCATTGCTGCCACGTTCCAGTACCCTGCCGTGAAGCTCTAGACCTCTTAAGTTTCACCTTCCTCACAGGATTTTTGGGAGAATAACATGCAAGGAGAAAGTGATGAACAAGTATGGTGTCCTGACCTCCTTGGAAGAAGGTTGGGTTAAGATATAATAAATAACAAATATGCAATATAGATGTCAACAGAGTAAACCACCCATGCCAAATGAGTTGTACAGAACGCAGAATGCACTGCCCTAAGTCTATGTTGCAGAGGATCTGACTATTCGGACTGTATCTCTATAAGAATGCATATTTGTGCACTTCAACTTAGTCATCCCATTTTGCTTCCACAGAATTGTACATCTTTCACTGTTGTGCAAACATTTCAGGGCCACTGAAGCACACATTTACCTTATTCCAGCTCAAAAATTATGTGCTACTGCGGGTCATATGTTATTGGCACTCTCAGAGCTGTGTTGTTCTGAAATGGAAAATATATTCTTGCTGGTGTTTAACTTTTACTACTAGTTAACTACCTGGTTTTTTCATAATGCTTGCACAAGTTTAATTTTCAGTCTATTTCAGATTCTGCTGGAAAAAGATTGAAGCATTTAGTACAATTGTCAGCTTTTCATGCACGGATACTCTATACATTTTTGATAGACAAAAAGTATTTTCTGCCCAGCATCAAGATACAGTGATGGGGAAAGATGTGTCTCCTGTTTTATGACTATAATACCAATAAAGGTGCAGAGCTTTTGCTCAAAAAACTAACACTGGCAATTTTATATGCAATGGGGAAAGTGAAGGTAGTTCCTAGATCTGAGACAGCTATTTCTGTCCTCCC